TAAATATATATATATATGTACTTTCCAGAAAAAAGTCACCACCTGGATTTGGCTAAGCAAATAGGTAAGAGCCCATCTTTGGGTAAAAGGTCTACGTTCAGCAATGTTATGTCCCCAAAAAATTAGGTCAACCTACCTGAATATACAGAATGACCAGGTTTTTCCATCAATAGATTTTTTCTTCCCTGATAGCACAGGCATATTTCAAGATGACAAGAATTCATCAGGCTCAAATTGTGAAATAGTGGTTCAGGCAGCATCAGGGAGACATCATTTTTACACATGAATTGGCCACCACAGAGTCCAGACATTAACCCCATTGAGAATCCTTTGCTGCAGAAGACTTTACACAGTGTTCAGACTCTCCCATCATCACTACAAGATCTTGTTGAATAATTAATGCAACTCTGGAAATTGCATAAGCTTATCGAAACAATGCCATGGCGATTGCAAGCCGTACATCAACCTCCTAATCTCCTAATCTCTATCCTCCCAATCTATGTGACCTGTACATTAACCCCCTCACTTCCTTCTCCCTCCATGTATGACCTGTACGGTTAATGTATCTAGTACACAACCGAGCTCCATGTTTTAACCCCCTCAATACCACCATGTTTCTTTATTTCCCCAAAATTGTAACAAACTATCAGATCACCTAAGGAGCTGTATTTTCCAAAAAGGGGTAATTTTAAGGGTTTTGGTACTGTCTTGGCATTTTATTTTGCTATTTTTTATAACAGAAAGTAAGGGAAACCGGGTTTTTTTTTCAAACATTTTGGTCTTTTTTCTTTTATATATCAAAAAAGTCCAGTGGTTATTAAATGCCATCAAAAGGAGGCTCAAGCTGTCTAAAACTATATAACACTCTTATGTGGGTAAAGTGTTGCATGACTGAGTAATTGTAAGTCAAAGTATCAAAGCACTGAAAAATGGCCTGGACGGGAAGGAGGTTTTCTATACTGGTTCTCAAGTAGTTAAACATCTTGTCAAGTGTCAATGTGTTTTAATGCACCCTGGTAACAGGATGGCTGGATTTACAGATTCAAGACTTTGATAACTACTGACAAGCATTGAGTCATGTACAATTACACTGACTGTGGCGATACACTAAGGGACAAGTATATTTCTCACTGACATGATCCTCAAAGTAGAATGTCAGAGTCTGCTGAACAGAATTCCCGTCACAACCTGGGGATAGGCAGAGAGAGGGGGCTGATTGTATCATATAACAAAGTAACATTACATAATGAAGAACTGCATTTGTTGAGAAATCTAAGTGGACAGGATCTCTGTAAGCCTTCAGCTTTTTATTCTTACAGAAAATACTATAATCTAGGTAAGGAAATTAGTTTTATAGCTACAGGTTTGGACTGACTGCAATCTTCCCTGGTGACTAGCTTTCAGGTTGGGGGATTCAATCCACATAGGTCATACTAGACATCCATGAAATCTTAAAGTGTATCCCTAGGCAAAACCTATTTTACTAGTTTTGCACAAAGTAAGGAAGGATTAGATCATTTGTCAAGTTGTTATTGCTGTCTGAGTTGGGGAGATTCACCCCTCAATTTGTACTGGTGACCATTGCCACTGAGACAGACAGTGAGGAGATTTCCAAAATTTTAGAGTTGTCCCCAGAACATGAGCTAAGGGGAAATCATCCTAAGGGAACACCTTCTGGGGCAACTGTCTAACTCAATCTCACTTTAGTAAATTTCCTCTAACTTCCTGTTGTGTCTCTGGGACACACAGCATAGTACACAGGCTGGAAGGGATTTTAACTCTTCTCTACTCTAATCAAAGCTAAAAAAAAGTTTTGGTAATACATACAGGGGTCTATTCACGAAGCTGCCGAAGGATCTGGCCGTAGCTTTGGCCGATCCTTCGGCTAGCTTCGGCCCCAGGACCCCTTCGGTTCAGTAGAACCGAAGGGGTGCTGTACGGGCTATTCACAATAGCCCGTACAGCTCCCGATCATGGCCGAGTGGCTCAGTCGAGCCGAACGCATATGCATCGGCTTGGCTGAGCCGTGCTGAAAGCAGAAGCTGGCAGCCTGCTTCTGACAGCTGGGCGGAGCCAGCCGTGATCCAGATGTTGGATCGGCTGAGTCGAACTCCTTCTGCACTTCGGGTCGGCCGAACATGCTGGCCGACCCGAAGCCACGCAAAGCAAGCCGATGTACGGCTGATTTCAGTCGATGTACAGCTGAAATCAGCCGTACCAGTCTGAAGTGAATAGCCGAACAGTGTTCGGCTCACTTCACTTCAGATCGGTGCTTCACTCGGCTGCCTACGGCAGCTTAGTGAATAGGCCCCACAGTATTTGTTTTATGAGTTTGTGGTGTGTTTTTATGAGTGTGTGATATGTGTGTTTATGAATGTATGATTATAAGTGTGTGATTATATGTGTTTATATCTGCGAGTGTATAAACGTTTGAATATGTGTGTTTCCCTATTTTGCTTAAGGCAGTGTTGCTGAATTTTTTTTAAACCTCAGTGCCCAAACTAAAACACAAATTTATTTTGAAATAAATAAACTGATTTTGCGATGCAGTTTGGACACTTGGGTTCAAAAACGTTAGCCATCACTGCTCTATGCTGATATTAATGATATTACAGGCAGGTCCTTA